AAAGAAGTTTTAGAAATGAGTTTTTCGTTCAAATTCGAAAAAAACACATTAAAATAGCATATTTCCAATATATTTCATCGAACTTTTTTAAAGCGCGTAACTGATGCAGTAAACTAACGCCATCTGACATGCCGCTTAATATATAAAAATATTCCGAACGCAAATTTTCTAAAACTGAAAACCTTTAATACTACGAAAATTTCTCTGAAAACATGGTAGTAGATTTTAAGTTTCATGTGGTAAGTCTTTGAAAATCTGATCATTTTCAAAAAATCTATAGATATTCTGATAGAGGAAGCTTCGCTGCATCTTCCTATAATAAAATCTCAACTTCGATATTTCCCTGAAAAACTCGATTTTCTAAGGGGGGGGGGGGCCCCTTAAGAACTCTAATGTACTTAAATACTGTACCTGAGTATAATTCAGTACAGTACCGCTACTTACTGAAAAGTACTCAAATAAAAAGTATTTCAGTAAAGTACAAAGTACTTTTTTTAAGTATCTTGAGTTTTACTGGTACTTGCTGTACTTGTACTCGTCCAATGACTGGTATTAACCCATGGTCTAATCCACTCACATTGCGATTATGTTTTCTTAACCTTCAGTTCAAACAAAAATGTCACGTTTAGTTGATACACTAGCTGCGGCAATGAAAACAACAACGACGATGCAACTAGAACTTTTTAAAATGCATAATGTCTGAATATTTTGTTTTTACTTTCAATCTATAACAGTTTATGCATGATATACACCAACTAAATTTCTAATTATCTAACGTTCCAATCAAGTAAAACATACAAGAATATTTTTGCTTATCTATTTTCAATAGTAGAAAAAAAAAACTGCTATCTGTATTTATTTATTGATTGAACAATTTACAATAATATTTCTTAAAGACAATATACAAGAACATATTTTTAACCCTTGAATACATTATTCAAACTAAAAACTAATTACATATTGAAAATCAAGCATTCAATATATTTCATCATATTCGAGTGCAAGTAAACCTCTAAGCTTTTTCGAACAAAAACCGCTATTTCATAGTACACTTACAAATAATAAACAACTCTACCGTAATTTAATATTTTCTTCCTACAATGAATAGGTTTGCTCTAAAAATCGATGCATCGCTCACCCTTAGCGAACAGCAAAACATGGAACGTATATTAGATTCGTGAAAACGATGATTCAATGAAACAAAATCAGAGGGAACAAGCGGACTTCTGTACTTCTTGTACTTCTTTGTACTTTTTGGTACATTCTGGAACTCCTTTCTAATTCTTCGTCCTTCTTCGTACTTCTTGGTACTCCTTGGCACTTCTTTGTACTTCTTGGTACTTCTCTGTACTTCGCCGTACTTTTGTACTTTGGAAGTACACAAGTCCGCTTGTCCCCCCTTGAAAAAAAAACCCCATTGAATGATACGTATTTCGCATATATATGTTATCTTATGTATCATTTCCTAGGAATTAGAGTTTTCATACTTTAAAAAATGTCGCCATTCAAGTATAATCATTTATGCACTCTTTGATTATTTTTAATAAAAAACTACATTGTCAACTACCGACATCAATCCATAAAGTACCGAACTGCTCGCCAACGCGATGAAACACCACTCCTCAGATAGTCTCTTTTCGGTGTATCTCTCTTTTCATTATCAATCTCTCTCATGCTAACTGTCACTCCCACACAGTGCGACGTAGAAATCAGTAACAAAGAACGCACTCAATTCAGTCAACTTCTTACTGCGAACCGTTGCTTTATTTTAAACCGAAAACTAACATCTATAAAAAACAACCAACAACAAACAACTTCTCAATGGATATCGCATAAACATACATGGTCCCTACTACACCTCTTTTGCTCACTTCGAACGAAATGTTTCGACACACCCCCCTCATCAAATATCACATGACAAACGAACTGTCATAATCAGAATTCTATTCACCTCTTTTCCTTACTTCGAAGCAAACGTTACCACACACTCAGCTCATCAAACATCACATGCCAAACAAACACTCATAAAGATTCTTCTATTCCACTCTTTTCCTCACTTCGAAGCAAACGTTCCGACACCCACAACTCATGAGACATCACATGACAAACGAACATTACTCAGAAGACTTCTGTTCACCTCCTTTCCTCACTTTGAACCAAATGTTACGACACACTAAGCTCATCAAACATCACATGATAAACAAACATTACTAATAAGACTTCTGTTCACCTCTTTTCCTCACTTCGAAGCAAAACGTTCCAACACACTCAGCTCACGAAACAGCACATACCAGACAAACATTCATAAGCAGACTTCCGTTCCCCTCGTTCGCTCACTTCTAAGCCAACGTTCAGACACACTCAGCTCATCAAACATCCCGATAAAAACGAACATTCATAAGCAGGCTTCTGTTCACGTCTTTTGCTCACTTCGACTCAATCGTTCCCACACACTTAGCTCATCAACCATCACATGACAAAAGAACATTCATAAGGAGACTTCTGTTCACCTCTTTTGCTCACTTCGAAGCGAACGTTCCGACACTCTCTGCTCATCAAACATCACATGACAAACCAACATTCATAATCAGACTTCTGTTCACCTCTTTTGCTCACTTCCAAGGAAACCTTCCGACACACTCACCTCATCAAACATCGCATGACAAACGAACATTCATAAGCAGACTTCTGTACACGTCCTTTGC